TTGGAAACAGTGACTAGTGCAGGGATATTCTTAGTAATCCGTTTGAGTCACCTGGGAGGTGTGCTGTTATTCTGACTGCTTTGGATTATAGGATTTAAATATGAGTACAATTTTCCTAGCATACTAAATCCAAGTATGGTGGTCCGAACGTGATATTTTAATTTTATTTAAGCAAAACCCTGGACCACAATTCCCATAATTCTCATTAGTGAAAAGCAGGACACGGGTAAGGTTGAATTTCACCTTTTATTATGACTACTACTTCAATTCAGATTTTATTGGCAACTGGTCTGTGATGGAGGGCTAGTGGCAAGACAACAACACCGATGTGCATTTGCATGTTTCCTGGGACCCCGGTGACTCTCCACAAGCCTGGCGCTTTGGTGGGGAGCAGGAGTGGTCAGCCAGGGCACCACCGTCTGCAGAAGCTGGAGCCGGCCAGGGCTTTGAAGCTGTACCAGTGCATGTGTGTCATCCTGGCACACAGAGCGGGCACACATAAAAGACAGACTCTCAGAGAAAGTCACTGACCTTTACTCTAGACTCAGACTGCATGGAGCATGCTTGGAGTTTCAACAAAAGGTTACCCTTGCTTTTATCTTTCCTCATTTGCCAACTTTTGCTTGTCCGACACCAGAGAGGCCACGACTGAATCCTGGAAGAACAAGCGTGTGGGGGAATATCCCCAGCCCCTGTCGGCGGATGACGTGTTAGGACACTCTGTCGTTCTGAGCTTTCTGAACGTACAGCTTCCCAATACGTGTCTGCGGTCCTTTTACTCTACTTTCCAACAGTGGTTCGCGACTGGGGATGATTTTGCTCTCCAGGGGAACTTGGACAATGTCTGGAGACATTTTAGTTGTCACAACTCTTGGGGACAGGGAGGAGACATGCTACCAGCATCGAGTGGGTAGAGGCCAGGGATGCCGTTATCCTTCTCTTTTAAAAAATTGTTTTTTTCCTTTATTGATTTTAGAGAGAGAGGAAGGGAGAGGGAGGGAGAGAAAGAAACATCGATGAGAGAGAACATCAATTGGTTGCCTCCGGCATGCCCCCCACTGGGGATCGGGCCCACACCCTGGGCATGTGCCCTGACCGGGAATCGAACTGGTGACCTCTTAGTGCATGGGTCGACGCTCAACCACTGAGCCGCACTGGCTGGACCCACTAACCATCTTAGAAGGCAAAGGACAGCCCCTCCAAGAAAGAGTCACCTCACTTCCAAACATCCTAGCTGAGGCGGAGACATGTACGGCCGCAGTTCGCAAGGTCAGGATGTCTCCAGGCAAGCTGGGTGGTGCCGGCAGGGTGCCCAAAGGTGCCATTTGCTTGGAAACCTAGCACAGGCCGGGTCAGGCTCTCCCTCGGCCTTGCAGCTTTGGAAACTCACTTTCCAGCCTCCCAGAGCTGATCAGACTCTAGGAGCTCGGCTTGCGTAGAAACCCACGGGAACTGAGTAGTAAACCCTTCCCTGCCTTAGGAGGTTCCACTGATTAATAGAACTAATGGACAGAGTGAACGCTTGTGTTGGCTGCTGGCGAGGTGCCAGGGAACTGAAATGGGCAGGAGGTGCCTCCAGGAGCCTGGAATCAGAACGAGGGGGCTTTGGGGGTACCTAATGATACCTGGGACTCTGAGGTCTGGGCATTTAACACCCCCGTCACGATGAACCCATCGGGGTTGGAGAGGCTGCCTCTCCAGGATAACACTCTTTTAGAAAGTGTTGGGATGGGTCTTGGCAATCAACTTTGACCTTTGCACTTTCCTCCTTTGCTTCCATTGCTGACCCGCTGCCTTTCACGACGCACGTTTGAATGAGTTTACTCCCGCCCGGCCAGCTCCCGGGGGAGGGCTTGGCTGGATAGCATTGTGTCGAGCACCATGTGCAAGCGGGAGAATTGAGGTGAAGATTGGCATTAGGACACGGTTCCTAACTGGAGGCTTTCTCAGGCTCGTGGGTGGCACTGAGGTGCCAATATTTTAGAATGTGAGCAGGTCCACTGAGGATTCTGTGCGAGGACAGAGGACACAGACCTGCGCTGTAGCGTTAATCACGGTGTCTGCTTTGATCTCTCAGGCACTGAGATCAGCTGATGTTTTCACGGGTGTCCTTCTGCTGACATTCTGAGTCCTGGGAGGAGGGCGTGGGGGTCATGACCCTCCTGTGTTCCGTCTGCTTGTCCGTTTGCTATTCCTCGTTCTGCTTCGGGGTTGGAGTCGGGTCTCTGGACGATGAAAGAGTCCAACATGCCGCCTTCTGTTCACCTTTTCCCTCGGGAGGCGGTCATTCTGTCCAGTTTGAATGCTGTGGTCAACTCACTAGGCAATGCAGCCATGCTGGGGGCAATGCAGGAAGGGAAGGAGAGAGGGATTCTGCGGAGATGTTCTGCCAGCATCCTGATGAATCACTCAGCAAAGTGTGCTCAGTCACCAGCCACACTCTTCCTTTGATCAGTTGCACACTGAGAGGCATGCACACAGAGAAATAGAAACACTTGCAGATTGTTAAGGAGGAAGAGAAGGTATTGGATATGTACATCTTTCTTCCCCAAAGCCTGCTGTTTGGGGGCATGTTCTGCCCACTTCTCTTAATCCTTCTTTAACCTTCCCCAACAGCTAACTGTGGCTCTTGATTTTTACACTCATTGAAATCGGGCAGACCTGCCTGCAAGGGGATCCTGGCCCTGGTACTCACTAGGTGTGAGACTTTGGGCAAATAGCTTCTCTGAGGCTTCATGTCCCTCCTGTGAAATTGGGAACATCAGCATTTACCACCTACCACGGCTGAAGACAGCAGGGGCGTGCGTGAAACCCCTGGGAAGGTTCCTGGCCTGTTGTGGGGACTCAGGAAATGCTAGTTGTCGTTTTCTGTAGAGAGGTCACACTTAGAATGTGACTGTTCTAAGAAGGATGTGAATGGATGTAAATTCACACCTAGAGGTATTGACTAGAAATGCATTTCCATGTGCTCACCGAGGACATTTTTCCATTTTTTGTTCAGATAGAGCAAGAGGGAGAGAGAGGAAGAGAGAGAGAGAGACAAACATTGACGTGAAAGGGACACATCGAGCGGCCACCACTCGCACGACCAACCAGGGCCGGGGACAAACTGCAACCGAGGTACATGCCCTTAGCAGGAACCGAACCTGGGTCTCTCTGGACCACAGGCCGATGCTCTAACCACTGAGAAAAACTGGCCAGGGCCCAAATCCAGTTTTTTTTGGACAGGAATCATAGTGGTGGAAAATGAGGCAAGGCATCAGAACTCTGAATTTTGAGGGGAGAGAGAGAGAGAGAAAGGGACAGCTGGGATGTTATCCATTCATCAGACATTGATGGAGGTTCCCACTAGGTACCTGTTTCCGTAAAAATGATCAACGTGGCTAAGCTCACAATCTGCCTGTCCTTGGGCCAGCCCTGTTCTTCTGTGATGGGCTGTGCCCAGCAGTGCTTGGGGCTTCTTATAAGTACTCAACAGCCTAAGTACTTAGTTAACTTTACCTTCCCTTAAACTGCGCTACATTTGGAAAGAAGTCTGATAGGGAAAGGAAGACTATCTGTCAAAAGGCACAGAAGAACCTCTTTGTTTCATCTGGATGCAAATATCCGAGGCTGACCCAACGACAGGCAGCTGGGAGGCCCCAGAAGAGGAAGGGGAGGGTGAGGGAGAGGAGGAGGATTATTTTCGCTCCTGAATCGATTTTATTGATCCCTGTTGAGATTTCTCTAACTCTTCTGCCAAGAATCCTATCTCAGAAGATCAGTTTGGGTAGACCTGCAGTTTCCCCTGAATCTTTCTCCTTTAGCATCTCTATTAGAGGTGGAAACTCACTGAAGAATTGCCCTGGTTCGCTGGGACCAGCTCGGCAGCTGGTCTGCTTTGTTTCCTCTCCACTGCCTCCTTGATGTTGTCAGGACACCTTTACTTGTTGAGTATTCGGCCTTGGACCTGTGGGTTCCTGGGGGAGAGAGGGGCAGGCTTTGCTTCTTGTGTGTAGTCCCAGTGCCTGGCACAATGTCCTGCAGGTCTTCAACAATAACCAATGTTTGCTAGTGACTGACATAGCCAGAGGCCCTGTTCCACTCGTTCTCTGAAGCTCGGAATCAAGCTCTTCCTTTTCCTCCCCAAACCCACACCTTTGGACCCGGCATTGACTGGAAAGCATGGAAATCAATGGTGGATGCTCAGAGGCTAATATAAAGCCATGGGCGTGTGTCCACAGGAGGCGAGGCTTACCCTGTTGGGAATCGAAAAGGTTTGGCTTGCTTTATTTTTTTCGGAGAGAGAATTTAAATTTGTCCTTTTATTTGTTTTGGTACAAACTTAATTCTCCCTCCAAATACACCCCCTCCATGCACAGACATGCACACACACACATGCAGACATGCACGCACACACCATGCGTTAACTAGAGGGCTCGGATCCAGCATGTGTAGTCATTTCTAATCTGTGAAACAGAACAGGGAACAAATAAAGCAAAATCGAATTTGGCCAGCCTTTGAAACCTATTGATTTTAAATTAGAGCAGCAGTGTTAATTCTATTAGGCCAGTCACACTCAGAACTTGGTCTTGGAAAGGGATTAAAATGTATTCACTGGAGATGTATGAGTATATCCTTGATGAATTAGCTGGGAAAACAATACTCCTAGAGACCGTGTGGGTGATGAGTGACTGTAGTCCTCATTCTAGTGCTTTGTTTTATATTTGGATGTTTCATTGGCCTTGGGGTCCATGGAGATGCCCCAAGTGTCCACTGTGGTCAAGATCTGAGAGTCCTTGGGCCCGAGAGTGGTTGCAGATCCTTGTGATGTCTCTCGATCCATGTGTCCAGTGGGAGTGATAGTTGCAGGGGGGAAGCTGCCCTTCCCTGAGAGCCAATGGGGCCTGAGACATGGGCTAAGAAGTCAAGTGCCCTTGTGCTGAGTGTGAGACAGAAGGTCTTGTCTTGGGTGTGTTTCCTCCTTGGAGTTACAACTTGATTGATGGTTTCTCCTGCAGGTGAGAGTCATTTCCCAGCGGCTGCCATATACAACCAGAGAGCAGGAATTTTCTCCTCATTTTGGCCACTAAATGCCTCTGTGCACCACACGTCCCAGTGGGGGAAGAAGGGCGGAGCTTCCTGGATGACCATGGACATTCCACTGGCCAGGATGAGGGCAGAGTGTGTGACATCAACACCACAAGGGTAAGAGTTCCTCTCTGATATTTTCTCTGGCACCCTCATTTGTCAAAGGAAGGGGAGAACGGACTTGACAGTGTCGTGACAGAAACGAAGGTCACACGCCAGGCAGATTACTTTGATTGTGAAATCACTGGGCAGATGACTGACGATGAAGGAGAGCATTAGCCTGGAAGGATTAGGTTGAGGGTGTATTGGGGGATGAGCCAGGCCAACCTGGGAAATTTCTGTGTCCACACTGCTCAGCCCTCTACTCCTTGACATTTGTAGTTCAGACTTAAAGGAGTAACACTACTGTTTTCATGATAAGATTCTGTTCATGTCCATTTGAGTCGGTCTAGCTTAAAATGGGTGCTGTGGAGCTGGGGGAGGGGTAAGAGTCCGGCTCAGGTCACAGGTTGGGGGCTTCTTGGAAGGACCTGGCCCAGAGACACATTTTCATTTGAGCCAGATGATGTTGAAAGCACGGTGGGTCACTTCTAATTAAAGTTGAGACATCCCAGATAGAAGACAGGATTTCCAGGTTCTCCTGGAACCGAAGATACATCTGCACGGGCCTCTGTTCCCACGGAGAACCTGGCTCTGCCTCTTCCGGAAGCATGGACAGTTCACCACCGCCCCCAACCAACCCACCCCTTTCATCTGTTCCACTGACTTGTTTGGCCACCAGAGGCCATTCATTTTGCCATGCCTGGTTTGATAGTTCTGGTAACTCTTTAACAGAAGCATGATAGCCTTTGTTAGTTACTCCACGTAAGAGGGACGCTCTTTTACTAGCTGTGGGCAGTAGTTAGCACCGGGGGCTGGGGCTGTGGCGATGACAATACACAGTCCCTTCCATGGAAGAGCTTAGTCTAGGGAGAGCAATGATCGGACTTGCGGGGTGAGGAGAACTGTGAAACACATCACGGTGTCTCGTGTTGGGCACTACAATAGAAGTGCTCCTGAAGGACGGTGGGAGACGGTGAGTAAGGCTGGGACGCTGGGGTGGGGAGAACTATTACTTTGGCTGAAGTGTATTCAGAGTCTCGAAAGCTCCTGCCCCTGGCCCCAGAGTGTCACCACCAAGCCATCTGTATGTGGGCTCCTCTGTGTGATGTGACGCAGTCGGAGACTTGATGGGGTACCTGCTGCAGAGTTAAGGCTCCCCTCTTGTGGCATAGTCCACATCTTTCCAGTTTCTGGTTGAAAATCTCTTGAGTGTAATTCTTTGCTTTTTACAAATAGGACTGATTTCTGGCTACTTGGCTTGGGAAATTGTTCAGCCGTCTGAGTGGTCCTCTGCTTGGAGATGAACTGTGTGCGTTATAGGGGTCCTTGGTGTTTCCAGAGGGGAGCAGCCTCACCACATAGAGGTCTAAAGGGAACGATGCAACTCCTTCATTCCCTCTGTACCCGGCGGAGGGAGCCAGAGACGGGAGGGGTAGGGCCAGGCAGGGGAATGTAGGGGTACTCTTATTTCCATCTCTTATTTTTGGAATAAGGTTTTATTTGTATCTTATGTTTTGTTTTCAAAAGACTTTTGCATTTGTCATTTTACCATCAAAGTGTGTCTGTCATCTTTCATAGATCAAAATCTACCTTCCCAGGTCACGTAGCTGGAAAAGAGCAACTCAAAAACAAGTTTCCAAAGTCCTAGCCGTTTACTCTTTTCTTCTGTTCAACATGGATACGGGGACCCAGTGCATTCATTTCATTCAATTCAACATAAAAAGTTGGGTTTAGGTTATGAATGTTCTGAAATAGGGCTACCTGGGGCCCGTGTGACTACTCAGGCCTGTGCCCATGGTGTCAGAACATGTCAGAGGTGGAACAGACCTAGGAGGACCCTTTCCTGGCTGTCTACTTGGCCCGTGGGACCCACGTTATATCCAGGCGTCCTCTGTGGGCAGGGCTGAGCTATTTGGAAGGTTACTGGAGGAATGGCTCCGTGTCAGAGCCTCAGGGTGTCCCAGGAACGCTGGTCCCTGGAAACAAAGACGAATCCAGAAGGCTCTGGCTCCAGGCCTATGTTTCTAGATGTCTCATAAACAGCCACTTCTTTCTCAGGATTGCACTCTGTTAGCTGTGTAAAAACACTCAGATTCACGAAGGCCTGAACCAAGGATCACTAGCGCCTCCATTTCCCAGCTCTCAGTCGTAGTGGACTATGTAATCCCGTTGACATTTCATCTGCTCTTCTCTGGCCCCATCGCTGACTTCCGATGTTCTCTTCCTCTTACACGGGACCTGAGCTGGGGAAGGCAGGGGGAGCTCAATCCAAGGGTGTGGACTGAGTTTAGATTTTCAATTCTTTTTACATTTGCTTGATTTTATTTGGCATATTCTCACATGGCATGGACAGAAATAGAATTGAGTATGACCTACCCTTTTAAATATCTAATAGAATGAGGTGTATGTTCCCAAAAGATGGCAGTATCAATGCAGAAAAATGCCCCCTGTTTTTTTTTTTTTCAGGAAAGGACTCATGTAGATTTTGGATGAGGGAGAAGGAACAAGGAATCTAGGTTTTCGCTTCCTTTTATGAAATTGACTTAAAAAAATGGTTCTACCCAATTAAAAAGTGGCTTGTATTTGTTGTGTTGCTTTTCTGAGCAAAGCAAGTGCGTGTCGAAGCCACTGATGCACACACGTGCATACGTATGTGTCAGGCTTGAATAGACACAGTTTTGAGAGTATTTTTCAAGTGAGTTTGAGAGCAAAAAGCAGAGAGAGAGAGAGAGGTCAGAAGCTAATGGCTTTGAAAAGGCTTTACAGGTGTCACTTGGAGAGGATTGGGCCAATGCAGTTTTTTTTTTTTTAAGCTCCCAGTGAATATCTTGGACCTTTGACATCTTTGTCTTTGCCATCTTACAAACACCCAGAGGTGCAAAGTGGTCAAATACAGTATGTAGCATTCTCAGCACAAGTGATTTGGGTTGATAGTAGCAGGGGGATTGATGCAGCGAGTCTAACCTCTTCTTGAGGAAGATAATTTTTCTACCTTGTGTCCAAATACCTTCTGCAGGGATGTGCCTGATTTGAGACCCTGTGTTGTCTTGGCATGCAGTAACAAAAATCCCTTACCAGAGACCATGGCATTCTTTACTAAGGATGACCTATAAAACCTGTAAATTCAAAGATCAGCTAGTCCCTCCTTCCTCCCTCATTATGAAAAAACATTAACTATATTTGAGGCATAGTGGAAAGAGTCCGCCCCATAAAAGCTGGCTAGTGTTGCCACATGGGAGTATAAGATCTTATACTGCTGCAGAAGGGTAGCAAAGGATCCCTTTATTGTGGTACCTTCTAGTGGCCAGTACTGCATGAGTCACATGAATAGCAGTGCACATGAAAACACTTGCCATTGGGCATGGTGCCAAAGGTGCTTAGTGTATTTCTGTGAAAACATTTTTGGTGAAGAATTTTAACATGTATGAAAATACAAAGATTATACATTAAGCTTCTCTGTACCCATCACTCAAGTGGCAAAAGTGACTAATTCATGGTTGTCTTATATGATCAGTGACCACCATTCCCTGTTGCTCGCCATAGATTATCTTGACATACATTTCAAACATGGCATAATTTTATCCACAATATTTTAGTATATATTTCTAAAAGATAAGGGTTTTTTTTAATAATAATTTATCTTTTTTGATTTTAGAGATAGAGGAAGGGAGAGGGAAAGAGAGAGAGAAACATCGATGAGAGAACATCGATTGGTTGCCTCCAGCATGCCCCCCACTGGGGATCAGTCCCACAACCTGGACATGTACCCAGACCAGGAATTGAACCAGCGACCTCTTGGTGCATGGGCCAACACTCAACCACTGAGCCGCACTGGCTAGGCTACAATTGATTTTGTATTCTGCAGCATTGCTGAACTTATTAGTTCTAATAACTTTGATGTGTAGATTCTATAGGATTTTCTATACTCATGATCATATCATCTACAAAGAGAAACAGTATTTTGGGGTTCTATTACTAGGTACATATATCTTTACTATAATGATTTGCCTTTTTGATGGATTGACTCTTCTATTATTATAAAATTCTCTTTGTCTCTAGTAACAATTTTTTTGTCTACATTTTATTTTGTGTGATACCAGTATAGTCACTCCTGTTCTTTTTTGGCAACTTATTTCATCCTTTACTTTCAACTCGTGTGTGTTTTCAAGCTAATAAACATTTTGTTTATTTTGTACCATTTTGTTTCTGTTACTATTGTTGTTGAATTATTGGCATATTTTTATAAAGAAAAATTTCTTCATTAAGTACTACAAGATTCTAAGGTATAATTCATGCAGGGTGAAGGTTTTATTTTTTTTGCTGTATTTCTCACATTCCAGAATAATGAATTGGTATGCAAGTACCTTCCAAAGGTAACCAATGTATTGGTCTTTTCTCTTTAAAAAATACTATTATGAACTTAGGGGTTTTAACATACTGGACATGTTTCAGTGCATTAAAGATATTTTTCTTTTTGTTGTACAAATTTTCCATCTTTGACCATTTGGAGTCTCCTTAAGTTGGCCCTGATTTATTTTAATTCTTCCTCTGTCCTGGTTGTTAGTGTCCTTGCTTTCTGATAGAACCAGACATTACAGGCTTGTCCTGTAAATTTCTTGCCCCAGACTTGGGATTGGCTATTTCTCCAAGGAGCCCTTGTTCTTATAGTAAGAAATTGTGTTTTGATGCCTCAGTCTGCACAAACTCACGATGTTCGCTGCTCCTGGGTTGCAGTGTTCGGTTGGGTTCCCTGGGGAGTAGGCTGAGACAGAGACGTAGGTGTAGGAGGTTTGCGGGGAGCTGCCCTTGGGATCAGCACCCGTGGGAAGGGACAGAAGTGGGCTGGGCAGAGAGAAGAGCTGGGCTGTGGTGAGGTGGCGGTGGAGACTCAGCTGATCCCGTGGGGCGCTCTGCAGCGGGGTTGCCTGCCTTGACAAAAGGGTGCCGGTCTTTATAATCCCCGCTTAAGTGCGTCATTGGATGTGAGCGGACCTGGGGAGGGAGTAAACCTTGGGTGAGGCAGCTCCTTGGCTGAGGGTGATTTCCGCAGAGGGACTTAGCGGAGAACAGGTGTGAGCAGCAGTGTTTTAGTTCTAAGTGAGACTTGTGATGTTCCACAGCATGTACTATGATTGGTCATTTTGTTCTAGGCCTTTTCAATAGAAACAAGATTTTCTTTTAGTAAAAAATCGTGAGTTGATACTGATATTCCCAATTTATATTTAGGACCATCAGGTTTTTACTTAATTTCTTTGATTTTTTTATTTTGTACCCTGAATCTTGGAAGTTCTTAACAACATTACCATGATCACTTACTTTGTGTTACCTTATGTGTGTGTATAAAAGTTTCAGAATAATTCTAGCAATATAAATAATAAGAGTGTTTTAAGATTTCTGCAGTTTATTTGTCTAGGGTGTGTGTATACCACTAAGGATGTACAGTCAAATTATTATGTTTCAAACCACACACCTTGAAGTGATTCATCTTCCTGAGGTATGACCAACTTCATACGCAGTAAGTTAAAATTTTTAGGAATTGTCTTTTTTATTTTTATTGAATTTTATTTCATAATTATGTAAAACATCAACATGGTTCCCAAGCCCAGCTTCTAACACTGTCTTCAGTATCCTGCTCCCTCTCTCCCCATGAAGGAAAACATTTTATTCATATTTTCCTTATCTTTCCACCATTTCTTTTTCTTTCCATGAGCATATGTGTGTGTATGTCTGTGTGTATATGTATAAGCATGTGTATGTGTATCTTCCCCCCCACTTAACTAATATAGCCAGGTATCATTCCATTGCAAATACACAGAGAGAGAGGCCATAGTTTATTCAGCCAGTACTCGACTGAGGGACGGTTAGGTTGCTAATTATGAAAGTATTTGCAACTTCTGCCCGTCTCTCTTTGCGAGAGACTTCTAGAAGACAGGCTGCTGGGTCAAAGGGAAAATGCCTATGCCAGATCTTGCCCAGTTCCCTCCATACGAGTCCCGGTTCATCCTCGCTCCCACCTGCAGCCTGGGGGTGTGGCTGCCTCCCCACAGGCTCCTTACTAGGCTCTGTGGTCCCAGTTTGGCATTTTTCTCAATTGATTAAATATGATACTTTAGCATAGTTTTAACATGCATTTATCTTATTATGTGCAGGATAGAGTATTTCCCCCCCCGTTTTAAGGCCTATTTGCATTTTATTTGATGAACTTCCTGTTCATATCTCTTGTCCAGTTTTCTTTAGTGTGTTGCTCTTTTATTCCCTATCTAATGTCTTTATATGTTATATAAAGTTATACTGACCTCTTGTCTCTGATGTAAGTGGCAAATATTTTTCTCATATTCTTTAAAAAAATTTTTTTTTCTTTTATTGATTTGAGAGAGAGAGGAAGGGAGAGGGAGAGAGAGATAAAAACATTGATGAGAGAGAATATCAATTGGCCGCCTCCTGCATGCCCCCTACTGGGAATTGGTCCCAGAACCTGGGCATGTGTCCTGACTGGGAATCGAACCGGCGACCTCCTGGTGCATGGGTTGACACTCAACTGCTGAGCCACACTGGCCAGACCATATTCTTTTTAAAATGTTGCTTTTGGCAACATTTGTATGATTTCCCATACATTACTTTACTAATATGTAATATATTTGTTTATAGTTTTTTTTCTATATTTTGAGTCATAATTAGGACAGTTTTACTCACAGAGAAATTGACTCATTTTTATTTAGTTATGTGTAGAGTTCACTTTATTCATATACACACATATATATCTCTTTATGTATATACCTTCATATAAGATCTGTACTTACTATTTATAAATCTATAAATGATATACAAATAATATGTATATAAATATATAAAACGCATAAATAATACATAAATAGCTATAGATTATCTTTGAGCTAGAAAACGTTTTCTGAATAAAGTAAATGAATAGCTGTTGAGTAATTGCTGGTCCGAATATAGGAATCTTGGAAGTAATGATGCTCAGTAGCCGGTTCTTTATGACACTTGGAGCGTGTGAGCCGGTATGCTGCAGAGGGCACAGGGTCGGAGGGTGGCGTAGGCACCTCTGGCTTGGGCCTCCTCTCTAACCCTCAGTAGCTGTGTGATACCTGCTCATCTCTTCTGATCCTGCTTCCTCCTCTGCAAAACTCATGGGCAGCAGTAAGGAGCAAGTGATAACAAGAATGCTTGCATTCAAGGACTGTGGGCATGTAGGAGAACCTCACTGCGGAGTTAAAGACGGGAGCTCCTTCTTCCCCGCTCCGTCACTGCGGGACAGACACTGCCAAGGACGCCAACACTGCACTCTGGCTGCTGTGACCTGGAGAAGCCCAGCTGGCCCTCTGAGCTGAAGCATTTGATGTGATCCAGAGATGTGTTCCTCTCTCTTTGCAAAGCCCACAAAAAGAAACCTTTGATTTTAGGATGTGTGTTGCTTTTATGATTAGAGTTTGTGGAATAAAGGGACCTTATAATGGGCTTTTTCACTGACATGCAGTGAATAAAAAGGAAGGAGGATGGTCAGGAAGACTGATATTAAGGCTGATAACTGTTCTTTAGAGAGTGAATGCAGGATGATTGGGAAATGGATTATATGCCCCAGGATTATGAGACTGACTTATGCAGATAGCATCACGAAGGCAGACACTGGCCTTCTATCACTGTGGCTTTGCAGGAGAGCCAAGGAGATGAAAAGTAATCCCCCAGAAGATAACATCCATTAAAGTCTTAATGCCAGCTTAGCTAAAACCAGCTCCTTGGAACATTTCACTCCCATACTTGCCATGAACATAAGCCTGCTTTCAGAGAGCTGAAGTTCCATAAATATTTGGACCAACCCATGAGCTCTGATTTAGGTTCTTCAAAGAAGATATCTAGCTAAAAATAGAAAGCAGAGGTTGGGGGAAGGGAATCATGTCTTTTGAAGAGGCCAGCAAATCTATGAAATGGTGTGTCAGGCCATGTGATGGTCTCTGGTTTCATGGGGGCACATTCATGTTTGTGAACTGGGAGAAAATGCCTGTGTCTTCTTTAGGACCCTAGGCGTCCTGCGGGGGTGGGTGGCAGAACACTGCGTCCTCTGGTGTGTCCTTTTCAGAGAGGGACTCACTTGTCTCCCCGATAGTCCTGGCTTTCTGTAAACATAGGGGCAAGAAACTCCTTTCTGAGATCTTTCCTTCTCTGACGGTGTCACCATCGCTCACTTGTGCAGCAGAGAAAACACACCCTCCTTCAGCCTTTCAGCTTCCTTGTCCCTCCTTTCCAGTCAATCACCAAGGACTGTCAGTTCTATAAACTTTGTAACCTTCCCTTTGGTTTGTCACTCCCTCTCTATACATGCCATTGCTGTCTGTGTTCATGTCTTCTCACCCCTCTTTCCTGTTCTACTGCAGCCCTGTCTCCTTGGCCCCAGCCTGTCCCCCTCCCCGTCTTCCTCCTGCTGACCATGGGGTCTCTCTAAGTCACAGTCACAAATATAACCATGTCCACTCACCCATGAAGATTGTTTAGTGGTCTTGCCCCAGACCCTTTGGATGGTTGTACAACATCATTTCGCTCAATGTCATTTTGTTACTACTTTGATCAGATGCCTAGGAGCATAGCTGTTGTTTATATCAATTTAGTTTATGGTAAATTGGTTTGTTACATTGTTTCACTTAATGGTACAAAACTTATGGACCACGGTACATGAGGACTTATCTATTCACAGTGTGGCTTTTGTACACACTTGGTGCCTGCCATTGGGAATTCCCTTTTCTGTGGCTGGTCGGCTCATATGACAATCCCCTGCCTTTTTTTATCTGCATCATCTGTTTGGAGGAAGCATGGTTGTATTGAATGATGCTCAAAATCTATTATTTTCTCTCTGAGAAATGGGTCTGGTGCATCCTGGTCAGTGTCAGGACTAAAAAGCAGCTCTGTGTGCTGGCCCGGTGTAGACTTGGGTGTCAGAGATGGGAGTGTGTGTGAGACCGTCTGCGAGGGGACGGAGGAGGGGGGGTGTTTGTGTCAGGAAACTGAGAGTGCAATCACCTTAAAAAGGTTTCTTCCCCTGTGGGCACACCTGAAATACCATCCCATGGAGGGTAACACTATCTTTAAGATATAGGCTACTTAAGGACGGGGAGATAATTATATCCTCTTGATTGTCCACATCCAAACACAGGGAGCAGGGCTTTTTCTTAAAGGAGTGGAGCATACGGGGGAACCTACCTCTTTTGTGAGAGCTGAGCCGAGCCCCCAGTGATGTGTGGCTTGGGGGTGAGGTGCAGGGCAGAGGAGGTGGCTGTTTCTGGGGGGTACGACAGAGCCCCGGGTGCCAGGAGAGATGAGCTACGAGCCGGCAGCCCTAGCCTGTCACAGCGGCCCTGGGCAGCCCCAAAGGGGGGCGCCTCCTGGTGAGACTGGAGAAGCTTGCATCGTGTGAGTAATCAAACTGCTGCTATTGCTTTTCCGGGGCGGGGGGACCCTTTCGATGCTTAATAGAGAAAAAAGAATGGGTGTTTATAAAAATCACATGGCCATCTTTTCTTTTCCCTAAACCATGGATTTAGGAACCCCAGCCTTAAAAAAAAAAAAGTCTGCTTTGTGTGGATTTTTCTTTCAGAATGAGTAAATGCGGTGCCCCTTGGCATCGGTTCCCTGGGTGGGCTTGAGACTAGCCCTCCCGCGAAGGGCGCGTGACGCGAGGGGCCGGGCGGTGGGCAGTGCTGATCGCCTGTGCTCCTTGCAGGTGCGGCGTGAACCGCGTGTCCCTGCCCAGCCGGCCCGCTGCCTCCTGTTCCCACCATGGTGTTTGGTGAGTTCTTCCATCGCCCTGGACAAGACGCGGAGCTGGTCAACTTGAACGTGGGGGGCTTTAAGCAGTCGGTTGACCAAAGCACCCTCCTGCGCTTCCCGCACACCCGGCTGGGCCGGCTGCTGGCCTGCCGCTCGGAGGAGGCCATCCTGGAGCTGTGTGACGACTACAGCGTGGCCGACAGGGAGTACTACTTCGACCGGAACCCCTGCTTGTTCAGGTACGTGCTCAACTTCTACTACACGGGGAAGCTGCACGTCATGGAGGAGCTGTGCGTGTTCTCCTTCTGCCAGGAGATCGAGTACTGGGGCATCAACGAGCTGTTCCTGGACTCCTGCTGCAGCAGCCGCTACCAGGAACGCAAGGAGGACAGCCACGACAAGGACTGGGACCAGAGGAGCAACGACCTCAGCTCCGACTCCTCCTCGCGGGAGTCGTCCCTGTCCGAGAAGGAGCTGGAGAAGTTTGACAGGCTGCGCTTTGGGCAGCTGCGGAAGAAGATCTGGGTCCGAATGGAGAACCCCGCCTCCTGCCTGTCTGCCAAGCTCATCGCCATCTCCTCCTTGAGCGTGGTGCTGGCCTCCATCGTGGCCATGTGTGTCCACAGCATGTCGGAGTTCCAGAACAAGGACGGAAAGGTGGACGACCCTGTCCTCGAGGGGGTGGAGGTCGTGTGCATCGCTTGGTTCACCAGCGAGCTGGCCATCCGGCTGGTGGCTGCTCCCTGTCAGAAGAAATTCTGGAAAAACCCTCTGAACATAATCGACTTTGTCTCCATTCTGCCCTTCTACGCCACGCTGGCTATAGACACCAAGCAGGACGAGAGCGAGGGCATCGAGAACATGGGCAAGGTGGTCCAGATTCTCAGGCTTATGAGGATTTTCCGGATCCTCAAGCTTGCCCGGCACTCAGTCGGGCTTCGGTCTCTGGGTGCCACGCTGAGGCACAGCTACCATGAAGTGGGACTGCTGCTTCTCTTCCTGTCTGTGGGCATTTCCATCTTTTCTGTGCTCATCTACTCTGTGGAGAAAGATGACGACACGTCCAGTCTCACCAGCATCCCCATCTGCTGGTGGTGGGCCACCATCAGCATGACAACTGTGGGCTATGGAGACACCCACCCCGTCACCTTGGCTGGGAAGCTCATCGCCAGCACATGCATCATCTGTGGCATCTTGGTGGTGGCCCTTCCCATCACCATCATCTTCAACAAGTTTTCCAAGTGCTACCAGAAGCAAAAGGACGTTGACGTGGACCAGTGCAGTGAGGACCCACCAGAGAAGAGTCATGAACTCCCTTACTTTAACATTAGGGATATTTATGCACAGCGGATGCACGCCTTCCTGACCAGTCTACCTGCGGTGGGGATTGTGGTGGGTGATCCTGATTCCACAGACGCCTCAAGCATCGAAGACAATGAGGACATTTATAACACACCATCCTTGGAGAATTGCACAGCTAAATGAGCAGGGACATGTGTGCCTGTATCTTGTGTCCCTTCCCAATGATAGGTTAACAGCTTTATAAACCTCAATGGGTTCATTAAAATCATTTAATTCTCAGGGTGTACCTTTCAGCCATAGTTGGACATTCATTAATCTGAAATGATAGAATTGTCTTTATTTTTCTCAGTGAAGTGAATTAAATGCTTTGTCTGAAATTTATTTTTACAAGAGGGAGTTGTGATATGATTTTGGAAATAAAAAAAAGATAAATGGTATCGGGTGGGATTTGTTGCTACGGCTTATGTATCATTCTGTATTTGTCATTTACTCACATTGAGCTAACTGTCAATTACTGACAAGTAGAATCAAAGGCCCAGCTGATCGAAGGCTACATGCATGTAAGATCCACAACATGAGACAATGCATGTAAATCCATGTTCACATTCTAGACATGGAAATTAGGAGCCTAATAAACTGCCTAATTCAGTATGGTGAATGTCTTGGTTGTATGTTTTTATGTTGGGTGAGTACAGTTCAGTATGTTCAAAACTGGCGTGGAAGCAAAATGCTGTTTTGGACCCTCCAGAGTCCTTTCTGGATGTTTCTGAGTTTTTGGGTATACAACAATGGGCTAGTTCTTTGGTTCAGGATGCTCAGTGGTGGTTGGTAGGTAAAAGACAGTGTCCGTGATAAAACACATGGTCCAGTATGAACTGATTAAACATGACCATGTTTAGGACATAGTCAAACTGGCTTATATGAATGAAACATGGGCCCCTACTGATATGTTTTCAGTATATATTTTGCACTTTATAATTTCTTACTGCTAAGATAAAATGTTGTCACCTGAAGATAATGCAGAGCAGAGTAAACCTACACACTCACAGGCAGAAAGGCATTCGGTTAATGGAAGAAGAGAAATGTCCGAACACACAAATGTGATTCACTGTGGCCAGAGGAATGAGACTTAAATCTCTGAGAAAAGCTATGCCAGCACCTACAAAATGAGCCAACATTTAAAAATAGCCCCAGAGACAGTAATGTCTGCATCTTATATAGAAAGCCCTGATAACGGAAGAAGACATACATGCTCATTTCCAGAGCAGTGAGGGAGCAATTCTATCCCATGCGGAGAGACTCTGGCTAAAGCCTCAATTTCAGAGATGTAGGGTGACTCTAACTCACGCTGTCAGGCTGCAGTCTTTCCCTGAGATCCTTGGAATGGAAGAGCCACGTGGACTTTTTATCCACCTCTTTATGTTTACAGATGCATTTCATTGAAAGGATGTTGTAAGTTATCTGATGAAGGTAACTCTGACTCCTCACTCCTCAGTGTATCCGCAACTTCTGAGATGGATATAACTAAACCGGGTTTATTGTCATTTTTAAATCTGGAGGCTTATTACATGCACGGGTGTCATCCTTTTGCCCATTTAAAAAATCTTTCTTTTCCCCCAAATGCCTTTGATGTTGGCAGAAATACAGTTTTGAAGATTTCCCAGTTAGTAGTAAAGTAACTGAAGATTGCTTATATAGTAATAGTAATAATAATAGTAATAGTAAAATAAATGGTAACAGTGATGGTCATAATAAAGCAATAGTAAAGTAGTAATCACAGCAATAATAATAAGCTATTATGTAAGTGCTTTACCTATATAATCTCTTTTATGCCTTACAATATTCCTAATATCAAGGGTTTATTACTGTCTCCATTAAAATTTTTTTTCTTTATTGATTTGAGAGAGAGAGGAAGGGGAAGGAGAGAGAGAAACCTCGATAAGAGATAACATCCATTGGCCGCCTCCTGCATGCCCCCTGCTGGGGATCGGGCCCACAACCTGGGCATGTGCCCCGACCGGGAATCAAACTGGCAACCTATCAGTGCATGGGTCGACGCTCAACCACTGAGCCACGCCTGGCTGGGGTATTGTCCCCATTTTAAGATGGGGAAATGGAGGTTCATGGGAAAAGAGGCTTGCTTATGTTCGCCCGGTGAGTGATGGAGGTGAGCTGAGAACCCGGAGCCAGAGTCCAGAGCTGCAGCTTTGACCGCAGCGTGCACTGCCTTCTGCTCTGCTGGGATCGGCGCGGACTTCAGGGTACATCAGGTCAGAGGTCATCTGAAGAGACAAAGAGCAGTGAATCCTGTCAGACTTGGTTTTTTCCAGCATGTGAGTCAAGGAGAAAATGCTGTTTATCTACCTTTCCTCTCCTGATCCACCAAGCAGACTCGTGTGTTTATAGAGTGGCCTTTTCTAGAGTGCCCTGAAGCTGGAGCAGGGTCTGAGGTCCTTCCTCGAGCTGGAGTGGCAGGCGCAGGGAAGAGCTGTGGTTCTACGAGAATCCAGGAGCCTCTCAGCTGGTGGGCTCTGAAGGCGAGTTTCCAAACCTAGCCCCTTCTCCTGCGAGCCACTGTGGTCGGAGCTGTGTAGGACTTGTGTTTCTGTCCGTGTCGCATGTTAATCCCTGGAGGTGGCTTGCCAGAGCGCTCGGCAGTGTGTGGAGCTTCCTTCTGAGCTTGACCAACTGGAAACATCTCCCCAGAAACGTCTCACCCCAGTCCCTGCCGTGGGCTCCTGCCAGAACCTCTGCCATGTCATTAGGCCTGTGCGACAGAAAGCTGTAGTGTCTCCTGGTGTCATGCCTCCCTCAGCTTCCCCACAGTCCAGGCAGCTCCCCTATTTTTATCCCCGCTTGATGAGACGATGGGTTCCTTCCTACAAGTATTAATTTCCTAGGGCTGCTGTGATAAGTCATCACAAACTTGGTGGCTTAAAACAACAGAAATGTATCCTCTCACTGTTCTGGGGGACGGAAGTTTGAACTGAGTCTCAGGGGCTAAAAGTAAGAATGCAGCAGGGCTAGTTCCTTTGGTGGGCTGGGGGAGGGGAGGTTCATTGGGTGCCTCTTCCAGCTTCCGATGGCTGCCTGCATTGCTTTGCTCCTGGACGCAGCATTTCAATGTGCCTCGTCTTCTGTGTCCCACTTCTCGCTGCCTCACTCTCGGAAGGACACTTGTGATTACATTTAGGAGCCACTTGGATAACACAGGGTGATCTCCCCATATCAAGATCCCCAGTTTAATTACATCTGCAAAGTTTCTTGTGTCGTATAAGGTAACAACCACAGGTTCCAGGGATTAGGAACTGGATATTTTCAGGGGCTCCTGTTCAGCTGACTGCACCAAATTTATACAGCTACCGAGAAACCTCTGTTTTAATGGTATGCTAATATAAATGCATCTTATTGGGTGGGAAGAAGGAACAGTGGATAAGAACATGGGTTTTGGTGTCAGATAAACTTGAGTTCTAATCCTATATAACCTCATTTTGGCTGTTATCATAGACAACATCTTCAACCTCTCTAAGCCTCAGTCTTCTTACCTGAATATGGGTTCCTACCAACCTTCATAAAGGATTACTTGGCTAATCTATATCACGTATCTGGTGCAGTGCCTGGCATATAGTATGCACTCCATAGATGGTCTGCCATCTATTTTGTAATGCAAGACTCCTTTGGCTTATCTCAGGTGGTCACCATGCAGGACCAGGTATTTTTCTGTCTGAATGTATTACATTCATAAAGTCAAACACAATTTGACTGTCAAGATATTTCCAGGTCAGCAGAAAAGTAGTGCATTGATGAAATATCACTGTGTGAAAAGACACTAATGTTAATTTAAAATTAAGACGTACAACTCTAGAATAGAAGCATCACATTTAATGTTGGTACCACTTTTAAGTGTCTTATAAATGTTTTGGGAAAACAGAAAGTGCCCCTGAGATGCGGTAGATTTGAAGATGGGACAAAGCAGTGGACCTGGGGTCAGAACACCCTGCTTTTGCATTCCAGATCTGTTGTTTCTCTCCGAATGCAGCTGGGGAAGCCACTTCGCCTCTCTCAGCCTCAGTGTCGTGATGTTTGAAAAGGAGGAAACAAGATCATGATCATGAGGATGTAAAGATGCCCTGAGTATATTCTATAACACTTCATAGAGAGAAGCTGTCATGAGGCCCTCCTTTCTTGATAAGGAAGACAAAGAGAAGAAGTAACTGCATGTGTGTGTACGATGGACTTTATTATATTACTTAAAAAAAAAATCAATGAGCAGAACATTTGGTTCCTGCAGCATTGTGTAGCTTTATCTGAGCTCAGCTTTTTATCCAAGTGAATCCAGCCAGCATCCACTGTGAGTGTATACATTTTCTGGAAAAGTTCCGCGGTGCCGAAGGCCAGATGTGTGAGCACACACAGAACTCTTCCCGCAGTAGCAATCATCTGATGACACTCGCCGCGTCTGCAGCAGGCACGCCGCGTTTATTCCCGTTGGCGAGGCCGCACGTGCTGGGTATTTATAAACTGGAAAGGATGTGTCAGCATGCACAGCACACGCATTCACCCCCGCACGCCGGCGAGAATAGCCTCATTGTCTCTGCAGAGCTAATGATGGATCCGCAAATTCTGTCAGCAAATCTGTGTCTGCAAGGGATTCTCTCCCTGGATGATGGTGAGCCCAGCCCGAGCAGTTCTAATCGCTGACTGAATGGGGGAGTGTGAGGCGCGTGGTCAGACACTGGGCCCTTCCCTGGGCCAACTCCAAGAGATCCCAGAAGCAAGGGGGGAGTCCTGGTGTGCAGTCCATGGTGTCACAGAGAAGACGACTCATGGAAGGTCATAGTCTCCCAGTTCTCATCTGCATCTCTCCCACTGCCCACAAGAGCAAACCTTCAGAACTATCTGAGACATGTCTCCCCCCTCCTGCTGGGGGCGGTGGTGGGCTTAGGGTGGGTTTGCAGAGGTCTTTCCAGGCTCTCAAGGGGGTTGATTGGCTTTGTTGGGGCGGGAGTGGGTCGTGTTTGCTATGCCCTCTGCCTCGGGCCAGCCCGACTGCCCAGCCAGCCCAGGGAAGTGAGCGTGAAGCCTGCAGCAACAGACCCTCCTCTCTGGTCCCTTCCAGCGTCCGATGGATCGGGTGTCATCTGGCTCCTGACTCTCAGCTTTGACTTTCATTCATCATCTGCCCTTGGGTCTTGGCAGACGATTTATCTATTCTTCACTCCAGTTTGCCCTCATACCTTCAGTGTGTGTTTCCTCGTTTCAGACCATTTGCGACGTGAGCCTACCCCAGCCAGCCTCTCAGAAAACCCCAACCAGCTGGGGTTCACACCCACCTGCGGACAGCCCTGCAGGGGAGAGCTGGGCATGTCAGGCTGTCCACGGCCTCAGCTGGCGGATGCAGGCCTGCTCAGACGTCACTCCAGGTTTCACAGAAAAGTTGGCAGTGACACTGGGAGCCTGGGGTCAAACCTAAGACACTGCATGATCCATCGTAAGACTCCAGATGGCCCACCTTCCCTTACCTGCTTCTGACACCTCCAACGTCATCGCCCCCGTTCTAACCAGCCAGCCCGAGTGGCATTTGGTAGTTGTCCACAAGGGGCTTTGTAGAGTTGTGTGGTCATTTGTGGCTGCTTCTCAAGTCATAGAAA